AATATTTTTAAATATTATAATTAATTATTTCAAAAATTAAAAATAAATAAAATATCAATTAAATTAATTAACTTTTAAATAATTTTAATAAAATAATAAACATCTATATCAACATTGGTTTACATGTGTTCTAGAACAGCAAAAACCCCAAATTCATTCTCTTAAATAGGGAGATGGACAGATCTATTCCTAAAAAAATTACAAGAATAAATTACCTTTTAAATTATAAATCAAGATAAATCACCTATTTTTTAATTTGTGACGTCAGAATTATGTCTGTTACATAAGCAATTTTTAACGGAAAGTTGAAATTGCTTGTGTACCTCATTATTTCTCAACGTGTTTTCTAGTTTTTCAAGGTTTTCTAGTGTTTTCCATACCAGCAACATATGGATAGGATACTTGTGTTTTACTGTTTAGTTTTCATTTAAAAGAAGTTGGATCTTGAAGACACAAAAGAGTAAATTAGTCAATTTGAGAATAAAATTTCCTATAATAAAGATTATTTACTATGTTTATCATATCATTTGAAACATGGGGTGCTAAATAATAATATTGAATTCAATTATAATTAATTATATGAGTTAGTGGTGTTTCAACAGCTTCCCGAACTTTTACTATATGGATTTTCAGCTGCTTCTACACTTGAAGTACTCGAGGATATTTCCTCGAGAAGACATTCCAACGGCCAAGTAAGTAATATTCTACTCTTAGAGAGAGAAGCTCTCAAGAAGAGTGATTATAGAGAGAGAAGCGTAGTGGAGTTAATGCCCTTACGTGGGGGTAGATAAGGGTATTAATAGCCTTCATTAATGATAGGATGTGCAACATGCAAGAACCTAGTCAATCCAAGTGTCAACATCCACATGAGTGCATCCACACTTGGGTTCATCTTTCGAGGCTTGTACGTGTAAGTGGGCTTACTAAGCTGAGCCCACTATAGGTGTTGTTGGGCCTGTTCCCCAACATTACTCCCTCCTCAGTGCTCGACTAATGAACTATGGCAATTACAATGGTAACCCAACAACCACCTTAAGGAACCTAGTTTATGGACAAGCTCACCACGGCCATCAGCTTTTTTAGCACCTTATGGGTTTTATGCAAACTCACCCTCAATCCCGACGAGCTAAGATGGAATCATGATGTCTTGAAGCAGGCTCGTATATCCAACAATTTTTGTAAGATCTAAGCGAGCTGAAGTGTGAGCAATGGCAATTTAGTAGTGTGTCTCTTCTCGAACAAGTTTGTCAAGTAAAATTTTCACAACTCAAAAACAACTCTCTAAGGAGATATGTAAATTGGCGAAGAAAAAGGAAATGGAAACAACTCTATTATCACTTTGGCTATTTTCTTTCTATACCATTCTTTGCCATTCTCCAGAGCAAGGTATTCAAGTTTTGCAATAAAGTCCAAAAATTTAGGTAAAAATGGAATTTTTTAGGGAACTTAGAGAGCTTTGAGGTAACCAAGGGATGAAAGAAGAAGAAGGCATTATTTTTGTGGGAACTATTGCAATGGTAGTACCACTGGAACTACAAGATTTGCCAGAGTCCATTAGGCCAAAAAGTAGCACCAATTCAAGCACTTCTAATGGGTCCAGTAATCACCATTCTTCTTCTTCTTCTAAAAGTCCATCTCTGAAGCGAACCCTGGTGATGATGAGGGCACAAGGGCATGAAATGGTGCTCTAACCATGACAAGTATGGAAGAGAGTGTACTAGTAATGGATGCATGGGAGAATAAGTCCATTGCTGGGAAATTAGATAATATTTGTAAGGCACCGCAAGATTTACTAGCCGGATTCAAATTCAAGGTGGTGCTCCATCATGACGTGGCGGACTGCACGGCCACCATAAAAGGGTTCAAAAAATTAGGGGAGATAGTGAAACGATTTCAAATCCCTAGGATGATATTAGTTCGGGCTGACACTAGGAATGAAAGGGCATGTTCAATGTCAAGAACTAGATGGATACTAGTATACATGGATCATTTTGAAGCTGGCTTACGGTTTCCCCTGCCTGGACTAATTTTGACATACTTGCAGAGTACGAGCTGACACTAATGCAATTGACACCAACGCAATTGACACTAAATAGCATAAAGTTCATCGCAGGGTTCATATTGCTATGTGCACGATTAGAAATACCTGTAAAGGCATGGTGTTTAGGTCACTCTTTTAGTGCAGGTTGAGTAGCAACCAGACGACGTGGTACTACATTTTTGGGATGGAAAAGATGATGCTTTTTACCAATGTACAGAATAAAGTGCCAGATGGAAGAGGCAGTTCATTTTTGTTCATGACACATAAACGGAAAGGGTGAATAATGAACTCGCTGTCTGTATCTCTGAGTGGCAGATAGTTTAGACTTATATGAACTATCCCATGCTCGTGCCAAGGGATGTAGATATAAAGAACATGCTACTAGATTACGTTAAGGAGAAGGGATTGGTGAGCCTGAAGGCCTTAGTTACCCCTAAGCAGTTAGCGGCATCTAGGTTTGTAGATACTGCAAACCTATATACTAAAGGTATATTTCTTTTGAAAATTTCAATTTTTAACTGAGCTTAGTCTTATTGTATATATATATATTTTTTGTGTAGAAGAAATAAGTAACATGTTGGAAAGGTTGCGTGAATGAGCATAGAGGTCTAAAGGTCGACGGGCAAAATCCAACTCACATAGACAGACCCGGTTTGACGAGCAATTAGAGCCACCACAGAGCTTCTCTCAAAGAGAACGAGGTTCCAGCTCGTCTGTAAGGACGTATGACGAGTAGAGAGTTCAGCCTCTTGCCTCAAATTCACGTTGGCGCCAAAGAGAAGAGGTGGTCGCTGATGATGACGTGCCGACTCGTGTGCAATGCCGAACAAGTTCTGGGGTCCATTCAACCCCTGTGCATTCGTCTGAGGTCCCTCTAACTGCGTCAACTAGTAGCACTGAAGCTAGGTCAACATCGATGCAAGTCTCATGCCCCAAGATTGCATACCCTAAAGGCTTTAGCTATACTAAAAAGCCAATTGCCATATGGCAATGCTACAGGGAATGCATATCTTTGTGCCTTCTGTTAATAGGCAAAAAGCCAAGAGTTACATATAAGAGAATGGGGGTGGGGCTGCGATGCTTAAGCTGATGGATGTAAGTGCTATGATTGAATTCCTTTATAAATTTTTAGTGTTTGCTTTTGAGAATAATAATTACGGGTCGAATATCAAGCTTTCATCTATGCTGTGGCATTATTTGAGTGTGAATAAGGAGCAAAGGGTAGACGCGTGAGCTAGCTAAGAACTACAAACACCTGTTCATAGAAAAGGCTAGCTTAGAGGATGAGGTTAATAACCTTTAGAGCTCAGAGATGGCCGGTAGAGTTGCTGTAGTTGAAAGCTGAGCAAATTGGCTGACCAACCAACTGCTCAAGCTGAGAAAAAAGCTTGAAAGAGCTAAGGTGGAGAAGGAGAGCGGCATCCTAGCCGTTAATGAAGATGCGAAGCGAGTTGAGGAATGTGCAAAAAAAGCAAAGGTTGAACGGGATGACGTTCTAAACGAGCTGAGCACTCTGAAGCATGTAGCTATGGCCGATTAGGAACTTGGGCGCTCTAAGAAGGCTTTGAAAGACACAAAGATGTTGCACCAGCAATTTGTGGACATTGCACGCACCCAAGGAGTTAAGTGGCTACTTGAGTCGAATGCATTTCAGGACGCTTTGGCCATTGCATCAATGAGTGCCATGATGCAAATATATGATGACGTCCATGGTAGGGTGTTGTAACACCAACCTGATTTCCCCATAGGTGAGTTGACATTCGTGGAGGAAAAAGAGATGGACAAGTAACGAAAAAGCTTACTCCCTACATTTTACACAACAGTTTGACTACGATGGAACATGAATGAGGAAGGGGTACCTATCTTCCCTCCATCAATTCTTGAGGAACAGGAAGACATGGACTCTTTACCTTTTAAGGCCTGGGTTGCTAAGACGCCTAATATAGAAGTTAAGCCAATGAGTGTTCCTAAAGAATCTCAGCCCGTTCCTTCTCTTGCTCATGAGGGAGCTGTAGCACCAGTGCCTTCAGTGGACCTAGCAGATGACTAGAAAAAAAGGCATTTGGTGCAAATCTGTGTATTTTTTATTTTTGTTAGTTTTTGCTATTTGAATGAGCTAGTGGGTGTTCTTGAAGAATCTCAGCTTGCTCTTTCTTTTCCTCATGATGGAGTTGCAGCATCAATGCCTTTAGTGGACCTAATAGATGACTAGAAAAGAAAGCATTTGGTGCCAATCTGTGTGTTTTTTATTTTTGTTAGTTTTTGCTATTTGAATGAGCTCGTATGTAATTTGGCAGTGCACATTAATCGTTTATGAAATTAAAGAAATGATTTGCTTTTGAACATTTTGAGTGTTATTGATGTATGAATATGCTGCATTTTACATTATGAAACTAATAATAACCACTAGCTATAGTACTTCCTAAGGTTATGTATACTCCAAGTGAATGGTAGTTGACGACCTTGTGAATCTTGTAAGATGTATGTCTTAGGTCGTTTAACGACCACCACCTTGTAAGGGCCTTCCCAGTTAGGCGCAAGTTTACCCATGTATGAATAAGTATTAATGAATCTAGTTTTGCGTAAAACCAAGTCACCAACTTGGAATTGATGAGCTCGAGCTCTCTTATTTTAAAACTTAACTACACGACTCTAATAGGCCATGTTTCTTATCCTTGCAACCTCCTTTGTTTCGTCAATGAAATCAACATTCTCATGAAGCTGTTGCTCATTGTTGCATTCATTAAATGAGGTAGACCTCTAGCTCAATAGACCTACTTCGATTGGGATGGCTACTTTGGTTCTATAAGATAAGGAAAATGGAGTTTCTCCTGTAGCCAAATTGGGTGTAGTCTGACATGACCATAATACTCTGTTGAGCTTGTCAACCCAATTTGTCTGTGTAGCTAGGACACGTGTTTTGAGGTTGTGTAGAAGAATTTTATTAGGGGATTCCGCTTGGCCATTTGTCTATGGTGTGTAGACGAACGTAAGAATGAGCTCAATACCATAGTCTTCACAAAATGACCTAAGTGTCATAGCTCGAAACTGAGGACCGTTGTTAGTAATAATCCATCTAAGAATTCCAAACCTGCATGCAAACAGGTGGGCTAAGTAACGGAATGTGTATGCATGTAATGTACATGGTTTACTTCTTAAAAGATTACCTGCACAGTATAGAACTAAATACGAACTATTCCACTTTCTTCTTGGTTGTTTTGGATAATGGATTAGCTTTTATCCACTTAGTGAAGTAATCTATGGCAACAATTAAGTGCTTGCAACCTCTCTTGCCTTTAATGAAGGGGCCGAGTAGGTCCACTCCCCATTGAGCAAAAGGCCAAGGCAATGTAAGGGAGGATAACATTTCTCTTGTATAAAAGGAGACATACATTTTTAGTCTTGAGATCACTGTGGAAGTACAGATAGACTTACATGTTTATGCTAGAACGAGTTGGGTTACCTGGTATGTGGATATCATTGGAATTGAACTAGCAGGTTTGACATTTTTTGACATAGTTTTGCATGTCTTCAACCATATTGGGCCAGCAATATCCTTGCTTGAGAAGTTTCCGAGCTAACAATTTTCCACCTATGTGGTTGCCACATACTTCTTCTTGTACTTCCTTTATAGCATACTTGGCTTCGTAAGGCATGCGGCCACGTAATAAAGGCATTAAGACTACTCATTTATACAATTGGCCATCAACTAAAGTGAAATGGGTCACTCTGTGTCTAACCATCTGAGCCTAAGATGAGTTCTCAGTTAGTTCACCATTTTGTAAATAATTAATCAACGGTGTGGTCCAACTCGACGAGAACGGGTCAGTACTTAACATTTGACAATTAGTTATTGGATCGGCATAACTTGGGGCATCCAAGACCTCTACGTACGTTGTTTGTTGAGGATTGATGTCTTGCGAGGTGATGTCTCCCCCCAAAATTAATACCCTTCGGCTAAGCAGTTGTTGTAGTGTAGTTTTAGGTGTCGAATCTGTAGGGAAGCTATATTAAATAAAAAAAAAAGAGTTGTCACAATGAGAAATTAAATTAAAAGATGAATTCTAAAATTAAGAATAAAAATATTTAAATAAAAGATGATAATTTATAAAAGATTGAAAACAGTATTATGATGAACAAGACTTCAGGGTTCATTTAATTAATTTGTTTAATTGTTATAAATTTTGATTCCTATTTATTACTCAATTGCATGTTTTACGTCCCAAACAAACAATCGGAAGATTTAACTGTGAAAACCAATAATAATAACTAATGTATTTGTTTTGAGAGAAATTAATTATAATAAAGAACAAACTGATTTATCATTACGAGCTATCCAAGAGCAACAATATATCTAATCGATAATACTATAGTAAAGGATCAACCTGCAAAACAAATCTATAATCAATTATATTCTAACAAATTACACATAAAAAGAGCATAACTCATCTTATATGAAATTTTATGAATATAATTTTTAGGATTTTCAAATCTGAAAAATAATTAATAATTTCTCAAAAATAAAATTAAACAATAAAATCTATGAAGGAATCAAAATAAAATGACAAGTCAAACTCCTTAATCAAGATCCTCCCTAATCTTGCTGAAAATTTAGTTGCCCTTTAACATAATTCTCTAGCCTTGAAGAAAATAGAAACCTAGTAGCAGCCTTTCCAACCTTTGAAACAGCCTTTCCAAAATAACTTGGATAGGTCTTTATAAGATCTTAGAAACCCTAATTCTAATGGTTGTGGGACCCACATCAAAATAATTAGGACAGATATGATTTGGCTAAAAAATTACGCAAGGGGTCGATACCTTCAACAAAGTGCCAGTACCTTCAGTGAAGCGTTGACTGGAGACTCCATGTTAGGTTTTTGGCCTTTTGTGCAATTTTTGGTTAATGGCAGCATATCAATCCTGGTCCCTGACTGCCAGATTTTGCACAAGTTGATCGTCATATTTTTTATCTTTGCAATTTGGTCCTTGATCAAGAATGGAGAAAATCTCACTTGAGCCTTCAAACTTCTAAATTTGATCCTTGGACCCTCATCTTTTTGGCTCTTTATATTTGAGTTTATTTCTTCTAATTCTCTCCATTCAATTATCAAACCTTTAATTGCCAAAAATTTGCACAACATGAATAGAATGAACAATTATGAAATTACTTGTAAAAAAATACAACTCTTAAACCCATAATTGCATAAATGTCAATAGTTAAGCACAATTTAAATATACATTTTCATGCTTTCATCACAACCCCTAACCAGCTTATTGCTAGTCTCTAGCAATTCAAGTGTGAATTAAGAAAGAAAGCATGTTGATTAGCTCAAATGGATATATAGCAAGACTACCTAGGTATTTATAAAAAGATCACAGTCGCTATCAAGATTACTTCAATTGTAACTTCCAAAAGTGTATGTGTGTGAGCTAAGCATAACTTTCATACCACAAACCACAACATATATAGCCTTGAGAATTAATCAAAGTAAAAGTTTCAACTCCATATCCTCATGGGCTACTAACTGTTTAAGGCAAAGGATTTCTCTCATGGAGTTGGAAAGCAACAAGTCACTCAAAGAAAAGGGCAAAATTTGACAAACAATCAAACAAACAAACATTGATTAGAAGATAGGCTAATTAGCTATTTAAAATTCCACTACTCTTACTTTAAACTCATTTCAGTATTTTAATCAATCAAATATGGGAGCAACACAAGTAGAGCCTAATGAGAAAAACTGTTCCCTCAAAAG